CCGTTAACTCACATTCGAAGTGCTTTAAATGTAAGTTAACAAGACACTATGACTTAATCTTAGTATCTAATGTGAAATTATGCCTTAAAAATCAAATATTTGTCAAGTAGGTCTTATACTTTAATTAAAAAGGCTTTACGGATTATTCACATTTAACCATCTATTCATATTTCTTGAACCGAACTCGTGGCTAGCTATTACTTTAAATTCTTTTCTTATTAATTATCACAACTTTGTTTAGGTATAATTCATTATTATTATTATATCACTAATTCTTTTTCTTATTTATTATTCTTTTTATTCGATGAGGGTTTGATCAATTTACTTAAATGTCCTAAGGATACTAATATGCAAGTGAACAATTTAAAGTAACTACACTACTATCAACACACTACCATCTTTACTATTAGTAGTTCGATTAAGTACATCCACTACGTACATATAAAACTAGTTTTATGCCAACTACTACAAAATTAGCTTATTTACTACTACATTATTTTTTTTTAAAGTCACACCATCAATTTTTTCATGGCCTTTACTATCGCATAGAACAAACTAGCTAAACCTAGCACATATAAAATTATAGCCAATACCAAAATCAAAATAGCATGTAGTAGGCCTACCTTGAAGCCAAATCCCTATCTAAGATATAAATGTTTGGTGCATCCCTCGGTAATCGACTCCATAGAAAAGTAAGCCATGGTACCTTATTTATCTACACCACAAAGAACTATGTGAGCTACGACTTAGTAAGTTAATATATGCATGTATAAAATATTGGTATATGCATAATAAATTCTTTCTCATGTCATAAAATATTTCATAGACGATCCGAAAATCATTTTTTTATCTTTGGACATGTCCCACTTAGGTACGTCGTGGTTTTCATAATATATGCCCGTGAACCGAACTCATCTACAAATGCATCCTATCAAGCCTCTAAAAGTGTATGTTTGTACTTGTCCGGCCTTGAACCATTACCATTACCGTATGAAAAACCCATGAAGCTCATCCTCAAAGAAACCTCACAGATCATTAAAATCCTTTTCTTTAAAATAATTTCTATCATTATCGAAAACTCATAGCATAAAATACGTTTTCATGACTTAAAAACATTACTCATGAGCTTTGGCACGCATATGCATTTTGAATGACAATGCATGCTAACATTGATACCTAAGTGCATGTCGTAAATGGTCATGCAACCATGTCATGAAAACACATCTAAAATTAGATAGCATAACGACATAATAACATTACCTTCCATAAATCATCTCACTCAAGCACATACCAAATCATCACCACAAGAAGACATTGCTTCACAAGTACTCATATTTCATTCATAAATAATACTTATCGATCAAGCATATTAAATACCAATTCAAAGTACAAACAAGCATAATATTACATAAAATGACTAAGTTTAAACTTTTCTTCACATTAGGCTAAATTTTTATTCCATTATTATTTAGTCATTTCCTTTTACTTCTTAATACCCATTTTACCTCCATTGTGTTCTAAATTAATTAAAATTTCCTAATTGTGTAATGTTTGACTAATTGTGGGTATTATTTTCTTATTGGGCTCAACTTTCAACTTTTCCACTTTAGACCCATTCTTGGTACCCACTAAATTTTTATATTCTCGTCAACCTTATTACATAATTCTAACCCCAAATTGACCATTTGAAGGATTAAGGGTTATTTAAACTTGATATCTAAATTTCTCTCTTTTAGGCCAAATTTTCCTCATTTTCAAATCCTAATAATTTATTCTCATTTGATCCTAAAATTTTGACACTATGTAGCCTAAATAAAAAGAAACTATATGGATCAATTTAATTCACATTTCGGGTGTAAATTTCTGCCCAAACCCGTACTAGGCCTTAATGGGCCTAAATTGGGCCTAAGCCCATATAACCAATTTTCTTCCATTTTCATCAAATTTTCCATTCCTACACATCAAAAAATGATTATTCAAGTGTGAATCAATCATCAAACTATAAACTAAGCAAGCTTGGAATTCAAATTCTAAAATTCCCAAATTAGGTCGAATATAATCCCCCTAAATTAGTGAATTTTTCTTCAATGAATGTGAAATATTTCATTCTAAATCGCTAATTCAAGCCTAAATAAGGCATAATCAAGTCCTAAAATACTAATTGCATGGAAGAATTAAAAACCCCTAATTTAAGCATTTGGGCCAAATGGTAACAAGGAAAGAACCCTAAGAATTTTTTAGTTTTAATCCCCAATTTCAAGCCCAATCAACCTACTTTAATCCCAATTTCATGATAGTCAAGTAAGAATTTGTTTCCCCCAAATTAGGTCAACAAGAACCCTAACCCTAATTTTTCTCAATTTATGCAATTAATCAAAGCAAAGCAATTAAACACAAAATTGGCATGAAATCAAGGTTTTTTGTGGTGTAGATGAAATTAACTTACTTTTTTGAGCTCCAATTAGACTCTAAAAAGGCAAGTTGTTGAAGGATTTCTCTTTCCCCTTTTTTTCCTCTAAATTTCGAATTTGATCTTCTTATTTTTCCCTTGAGATTTTTTGGCTTCCCACTTAAAATTCAAGCTCCTTCCACTCGATAAAAGGTGCTTAAAATTTATTAAAAATATTTTGGGTGATTTTTAAGTGAAAATTTTGCAAGAGTTTTTTTTGGGTTTTTCTATTTTCTTTCCATTTTTAGTTTTTCTAGAAACAATATTTATAAGGGGAGTTTGTGAAAAATTTTACTTGATCTCTACCCTTAATTTGGGTGAATCTCAACCTTACTTAATTTTTCAATTATTTATTTGCATTTGTCTCAATTTTTGGCCATTGATTCACCCTTTTTTTTTAACCCTTCCACCTTGCTTATTTTTTGCCATAATTTTTAGGTCGGCCTCGTTAATTGCCTTCAACCAGCCAAATTTGGAAGGAAAGTGATAAGTTTTGGTCCTCCAAGTTTCTAGACTTTTCCATAGCCCATTCTTTCCTAAATCCCTCGTTTATGAAAAAACTCATTTCTAATCCCCCCTCTTATTTTTTAGGATTAATTTTTAACCCTTCATATTCTTACATAATTTAATTTGGATTATTAGACTTCTAATTTTATGCAATCGAGTCTCTAATTTTATGCAATTTAGTCCCTACTTTTAAGATTCCATTCTATACTCTTCAAAAATCCAATTTCTTTCCAGACTAAATTCAAAAATTTATTAAGGGAGTTTATTTTAAATGTTCATAATTTTTGGACCTCATTTGAGCCTCTAAATTAATTATTTAGTGTGAAAATTACACTATTTCCTATTAAAAATATTCTCCATATTAATGACATTAATTTAAATTTTCTAGGCACTCTCACACGTCTTATATGATTATTCTATTCTTTTAAAAAAATTCTTCATTCTTTTAAAGTATCTAATTTAATTCTTCTATCTCTAAAAACTATTCCTATACATAACAATTTAAATAAAATATTCACAAAACACAAGGAAATTCCTACGATCACATAAAGTAATTTCACACCCGTCCGACAAATATGCTAAGCAAAAAAAACATTTTTTATGTACAAACAACATGCTTGAATTAAGTATTTCATGCAAAAACTACTATTCATGTATCGTAAAATCAATAAAATATTCCTTAAGTATATAAAAAAACTATTTTAACTATTCTATATATTCTTTTAAGTTCCTAAGGGTTATTTCACACCCTCAAAATATGTTTAACATGTATTTAATATTAAATTTTTATTTAATTTCAATTTCAGTAGGAACCGGTATTACATCCTCCCTCACAAAAAATTTCGTCCTCGAAATTTCTACTAAAATAATTCGGGATACGAAGCGGTTAATGAACACAATACAATAAGAGCTTGATCTTCTTCATCAAATTTAATATCAAGATTTTTCATATCCATAACAATTTTATTGAATTCATCAAGGTGTTTATGAATAGACGTACCTTCTCGCATCTTTAGTGTATAAAAATGCCGCATCAAATACAATCTTGTGCTAAGAGATTTCTTCATGTCAAGGCTTTTCAACTTCTTCCATAACCCAATTCGTTGTCTCTTAATCTACGACTTCTTACGAGTATCTTGTCCGACGGTGATAACCGTAGAGCACTATGAGCCTTCTCATCTATCTCTTCAATTTCGACGAAGTCATGTAATCTCGATATATACTCTCAATTGCCTTGATAGAACCTTCATACCATAACAAAGCTTTAATCTTTATTCTCTATAGGGCAAAATTATTTTGACCATCAAGAAGTGAAACATCAAATTTCAAAGATGCCATTACGAATAGAAAAACCTAACCTATGCTTTGATACCAGTTTGTTATGACAAATAGCAGTAAACAAGAAAAGTAACGACGAGAAAATAATCAAAAAATAAAACTAAACAAATTATCAACGCACGAAATTTACGTAATTCAGCAAATTTTCTACTCCATGGGCGAGAGAAAAGTTTTATTAACTTCATAGTAGGAGAATACAAGAACCCTAGAGACTCAATACAAAGTCTCTGTCTTTATTCTATTTCTTAAATAGAGACATAAGAAAGTTTAAATACTTCATACCTATAAAAGAAAAAACTTAATGGGCTAAATATATTATTAACCTATAAAATTCAAGCTGCAACATAGAGGAATTAGAACTTATTGATTTTTTAGCAAACTATTACAGAATATTATTTGTGACTTTCTAGCTTCTTTTTTTATTTTTTCCTCGTCTAAAGTTCAGTTGAAGGAGAGAATTTATAATGTTTATTTCCCCTTTTCGTTTTGAGTGATTCAGATATATAAATAAATAAATAACATCCAGCTTGCTGTTGATAAAATAGTCTCGGATAGTTTCTCGAAAGGTAGACCAGTTGGAAATTATGAATAAACAAAGAATAGGCACAGGCTGTATGAAGTTGACGACAAAAAGATCCAAAGAAGAATCAGGTGCAACAGCAAACCAGAAGGGACTAGTAGTCCACCATTGTTATTGATATTCTTCTTAGGGTTTGTTTGACTTATAACCAGCAATTTTTCTACTACTTTTTGTGCAGGTACCACCATTGCTTGCTACATTCCTTTTGGTATCCTGTTGAATAGTTGACGGATGAGGTGCAGAAGCCTTCTTCTTTTTTACTACTTCACTTGCATTTGCTAGCTCTGAATTGCCTAAAACAGGATATTGTAAGAAAAGATGTCAAATTAAAGTACTAAAATCAAGAGTAAATTACAACAAAATCAATTATAGACATAACCCAAAAGTTTAAAATTTGACAAAACTACCCTACAAGTTGAGAAATATTACAATTTTTATATCTGAATAGTCGTGCTGTTTCTAAAATCATCTCATTTGATTGTTCGAGTATTTTAGATACAAAAGAAGATTTCTGATCTCTATAATTTCATGAATCGTCAAGGAGTTTTTCAATTTATGCTAAAATTTAAATACAAATGAATTGCAGTTGTTTTCAAAATATTACTACTTACTTGTAGTTATTTTTCTAGGACCTTTGCTACGAGTTGTGCTTGCACCAAACCCATTGGTCTCATTTCTTTTTTCACCTTGTTGGACAATTGATTTGGCGGCAGAATTCTTCTCCTTTTTCTTTGCATTAGTAGCATCTGGTAGCTTTGAATTGCCTACGCAGTATGTCAATTAAAAGGACTATCAAAATTGAATTGCAGATATTTTTCAAAATAATCTACTTACCGGCAAGTTTTTTTGTCTGACTATTATTACATGTGCTTGTACGAAAGCCAATTGCTTCATTTCTTGTTTGAACATGTTGGACAGTGAATTTTGAAGAAGTCTTGTCTTTTTTCGTTGCATTTCTTGCTTCAGGCAGCTTTGAATCACCTCCAACTAACCATTTTCACAAGATGTAAATGAAACTACTTAAATATAATCCAACTGAAGTGATCTTCCAAAACATAGGACAACTTACTGGCAGTTGTTTTTCTAGGATGATTGTGCCAAGATTTGTTGGTAGCAATGCCATTTGCCTCATCCCTTTGGTTGGCTTGTTGGGGAGGTGATTGAATTGATGAGGACTTCTCATTCTTGCAAGATGTGTTTGTAACGATGCCACTTGCCTCATTGTCTTGTTGGACGGTTGATTGAGTTGAAGAATTCTTTTCTTTCAATTTTGCTTCACTTGCATTTGGCAGCTTTGAATTTCCTCCAACATGACTGATCTTGTCACAGGATCTGCTGTAGTGTCCAGCTTTATGGCACTTCCAACACTTCAAAGATCCATATAAATTGAGATTAAATTCTATAAAATAAGTTGGCTATGGTTTTTAATTGAAAGTTAGTATCAATATATATAAGATCAAATGAGGAAGCTCAGTACGTACCATGGCAAGATGTTTCTGGTTAGTATGAGCTTGAATCTTTTGTAGTGTCTCAGCAACTTCTTTCATTGATGGACGGTGTTTGGGGTGAGAAACGAGACATCTGAGAGCAAGCATGGCTATTTCTGAAGCCTGCACAGTCACATACTTTCCCTCCAACCTCGAGTCCATTACTCCTCTCAACTTGAATCTATTATTTAGATATGTCTGGGCCCATTCCCCCTGCAGAAGTGGCTGCTCTTTATCACGGAGACGGTCAAATGGTCTTAAGCCTGTTAGCAGCTCAACCAAAACAACACCAAAGCCATACACATCGCTCTTTACATACAACTCCCCTAATTACCAAACCAATAAGATAAAACCAAGGTAATGGCAAAGCTTAGAAGAGGACAATATAGACAAAGGCGAGAAGATTGAGAGATTTCGACATCATTCAACCATAAGAATACTACTATAATTCTTTTGAGATACAAGAAATTACCACTCATAGCATAATGAGGATCCATATAACCATGTGTGCCGCAAATTATACGCTCTGATATAATTACATCCTGATCTCGGCATGCGCAAACTGCTAATCCGAAGTCTGATATCTTTGCATTATAGGACTAAAAAACAAAATAGTTAGAAGGAAACAATTTATTCCTTTTATTATCGTTAAGCTGGAGGCTCTTCATTACCCAGAAATTCCTTTTAGTATCGTTGGCTAACGAGTATAGCCTTGCATATTGCGACTAAAGAAATGGCAGAACCTAATTTGTAGGAACTGGAAACCTAGGGAATTTTCAAAATAATACATCATTTTATTGATGAATCATGGATAATGATAAGATAATTACAGCAATTAAAGGTATGCACATGTCGTTCAAAAGTAGGATATGTAACAGTATAGACTTACTAGGGAAGCAGGATAGCAGCATCAATATTGATACACACAAAAAATAGTGATAGATATGAACCCAATAAAAAAGCAGACAGAGAAACAATCAAGGTGATTATGCAGCAGGGTTGGCACCAGCAAGCAAACAGAAGTTCTAGCAGCTGATAAACTTTCAAAGATGGTGATTATTGGAAAGATCTAAACCACAGAGTTGTCTTGGGCCCATGCATGAGCTTTCACAAAAGGACTTACGTACAGTGATGGACACCATCTTCAACCCAAAAGTCTAAACTATTGATCCACTTTGCATATAAGCATCTCAAACTACTCATTCTTGACCGATGCAAGATTCGCCACACACATAAGGAACTCGATAGTGACGGTAGGGGAACTAAATTATATGCACAGCAGGATTGAAAACAGGGGAGCAGGTATAAACCCAACCCAATGCTCGCAGTATTGGCACTGGCAAGAAAAGAGGCTACTGGATGCCACTGAAAAAACAAACCTTATCAAGTAGTATATTTGCGGCCTTGAAATCTCTCAGGATTACTGGCTCCTCCAATGAATGCAAATAAGACAGGCCTTCAGCCATTTGTATCGCAATCTTAAGCCTAATTTCCCATGAAAGTACCTGATCTGCTTTCTCTGTACCAGAAGAAACATGCACTGCGTTAAGAACAAAATGAAGTTACTCTGAACTTATCTTTTAGCAACCTTTTTTTTTTCGGCTGACTTTTTCCCCTTTAATATATTAATTGACTATCATTAAAAAAAAAAAAAGGAACAAAATGAAGTCATTCAATATCTGTGAATGCAATTGTGTGGTCAGAGAAAAACTCATTTGATCAGTAAATCCAAAGAGTAATAAGATTATGTCCTTACTTGCATGAAGATGGTTAGATAAGCTGCGGTTTTTCATGTATTCATAGACAAGGATCTTCTCGTTACTTTCACGACAAAATCCCAAAAGCTTTTATGATGTTCGGATGAGACAGCCTTTCCAAGAAAGTGGTCTCTGTCTGTACCAACAAATTATGGCAAAGTAAGTCCGCAAACAGGTTGTCACCTGACTACTGTAAGAGTAAATTATAAATCAGTCCCTCTCATTTTGAAAAATAAATTAATTAGTCTATTTCTTTTCAAAAACTAATCATTCAGTCTTTATATTTTTAAATCTACTTGTTATTTAGTCTTTTTTGCTCTTTTCCAAGTTATTTTGATTTTTTATTTTAAGAAATAAAAAAAAAATCTAGAATGATTGATTAGAAAAAAGAAAAAATTTGTAGAATAAAAATAATATTAAAATAAATATTTTAACTAGAATTTAAATTCATAACCTCTTGCATATAAGCAGGAGGCCACTACCACTAGCTCCTTGGTTAAAATAAACATGGTCAACACTAATAAAAAAACTAAATAATAATTTTTGAAACAAGAGAGATTAATTAATTCATTTCTATAAGAACTAATTTATAATTTACTCACTACTGCAAAAAAAAAAAAAAAATGAAATAACTTTTTTTAAAAAAATTACTACATAAACTAGGTTTGTAAAATTTAATTGGTAGTAAAACCCTCTGAAAAATTGATCAATAAGAAAAATAACTTCTTTTATTTGGATCCATGACTTTTTTTTATAAGAATTAAGTTTTTTTTTTCATTGATTAATTTTATGTAACTTAAAAGACACATAAAGTAATTAAAATAACGTACATATGTTTTAAAAGCTCTCAAAGTTTTATGGCTTCACATGTCCCTCATATGTGATCAATATAGTGTGAGATTGGTCAACAAAATGAAATGATGACTAAATAAGATTTGAGACCCAAATAAAAAAAAAAACAAAATTTCTTTTATATGGATCAAAACTTCATGATATTTTATAACCAATTATCTGAACATCAATCACAATGCCAGACATTGGAACTGTACATAACTGAAGACTTGACTTCATCAGACAAAATAATAATAAGAAGAAGAAGAAGAAGAAGGAATCACCAGAAATTGTTGATCGGCAGCCATACTGTTATTCCAGCGTGACGAACATTTTCTCTTGACTGCAATTTGTCGGTTTTTAGTACCCTTACATGGTAGCTGCTCTTTGAGCCAACCCTTGTAGACTATGCCAAAACCTCCCGTTCCAAGCACCAGATTCCCACTAAAATTAAAGGTTGCTGCCGTCAACTCTTCAACTGTGAAAGCTCTCAACTTTGAATCATCTAGTGAAACAAGTATTTGGTTGCCCACACCTGAAAGAGGTGCAATAGACATCCATGTTGAAATACAGGCAGTTACCATAGTGAAACAGCAGCTGTAGTCGGCGGAATCCATAATTGATGCATCACCTGATTGCATGTGCAAATTCTGTGAGATAGGACTCAAGGCCTTGATACAGAGATAAAAATGAACATACTATGGGACTTGGATTATTCAAAACTTGTCGGTATAGAATTATATATGAATCTGGGCTCTTGCTTTTGTTTGGAGCTAAAGGCACCAAAGCATGAAAAGGAAGATAGTATTAGCTGGAAGCTGAGTCCAGACGTGAAGTTTCCTCTCAAAAGTGCTTGGGAGCACATCAGGTAAATAGGTAGCAGAGTAGACTGACATAAATTGCTTGGGGGGATGAGGCATATTTCTGTTGCTAGGTTATCGATATTGAGTAGACTAATTAATTACCAAGAAAAGGCAAATTAGACTGGGAAGGAGAATCGGTCCAGATTGCTTGATCTGTAAAGCGGTGGAGAGCAGAGATCACTCGTTTTTTGCTGGTCCAACATCTAAAATATTATGGGAAGAAATTTTGCAGTTTTTCGCATTCCTAGGCAGATTATTGGCTGAAATAAAGAATTCAGTTGGGCCAAAAAACTCCATAAAAAAACATTTCGTATCTGTGTTCTTGTGGATAGCTTGGTGCTGTTAAATCTACACAATTAACTTAAAAAAAGCGAGAGAAAAAAAAAAAAAAAAAACAGAGGATGTAGCTCTCAAAACACAAGCAAAATGACAAGGCTGTGTACTAAATTAAGGAAACTCAAAATGAGGAATATACGTCATATGCATCAACGATAAAAGACCAAGGAGTAAGCTAACCATCAATTATTCGTGCGATGGAATCACGAGGTGAGTCTGAGTCCGAGTCTGAGTCTGAGTCTAGGGGTCGAACAGGGCCTCGAACTGAACCAGTTAGGGCAGCAACGAAGGTTTGACTTGACCTATGAGCTGCAAGGCAATTCCAGTGAATCCCCATCGAAAGGTTATGTGTTCGCAGAATTAGTGTTGATCTGAATTCCGATGGAGTAGAAAGAAACAGAGAAGGAGATGACTTTGTGTAGACTTTAGGCGGATAGTAGCGAGTTTCCTTCAAAGCTTAAGATTTTATAATAGTAATGAAAAGAGTTTGTGGAAGTGCTTTTTCCAGGTAGCTGCTGCATGCTGGCTTCGAAGACGCTAAATCCGACTTTTTTCAAATGTAACTACTTCGTTTCTGGTCTTGAAGCTGAACTCACCATTTCCAGGTGTATTGCAAGTTTCCTCTTATGATTCTGACAGATACTATTATAAATTCAGTACCACTGCTTTATCAAAAGTTCTATTTAAGTTGCCATACTTTGTTTTGAGAACTTGTCTATTATTTTAAGGCTAAAAGGGTCAAATTACTCATGAACTATAGTTTATTTTAAAATCAATTTTTAAATTTTCAATTTGTATTTTGACTTATATGAACTTACATCTTTTTTTTTTTCAGTCACTTACCCAGAAAAAAATAATAATAATTACTTAAATGATCCGATAATGAAAATCATTTAGTAAGATTTATCTAGAATTTTTAAAAAAATTTAGAATCATTTTCGATTATTTTCTATTTTTATGATTTTTTATATTTTTAATGTTTGAAAAATAAAAATATATATATATAATTTCTAACATTGAAAAGTTTTGAATTTTTTATTTTTTAAAAAATAAATTGGATTTTTCTCGACATTTGTGCAAAACTTCAAGTTAAAAGTTTAATAACTAAAAATCATAAGATAAATTAACTTTTAAAAATAAAATAAAATTCAGAGAGATCAAATACACAAGTTAAAAGTGAGATGGATTTTCAAATAAACTAAAATTCAAAAGCATTTTATCCTTTTTAACTTTATTTCAATACCAGATTTATCTTCATAGATTCTTACGAAATTGACTCTTTTCCTTGATTCATCGCTTGGGTTCATTTACTTCTATTTTTGTCAATTCATCAACAATATTTATTATTCCTAGCTATCAAGGTGGATATCAACTGGCGTGGCAACCTCAAAAATTCGAATAAGTCCTTCAAGTTTAGGGGTTATTTCAACATTGTATAACATTTTTGTACATAATGACTGTTTTAAAATTAAGAAAGTTACACTTTCGTCTTCAAAAAATGTATTGGGAAGTCATGAAGAATAGTTATACATGACAAATGATTCAAATTATAATGTATATATATATAGAATGAAAAATATATATATATATATATATATATATATATATATATATATATAATAGCATAAAATAATTGAAACAAATGTAATTAAATATCTAAATTTTTTTTATTTTTTAATTTTCACAAATAACAGCTTCATCCATAATGAC